TGAATGCTAGGCCGACTGTAGAGGGTAACTGGTTCGCACAGATTTACACAGAGTGTCGTGGGTTTAGGCAGGGTCTGTGGATCATGGCGATGCGTGCAGCTGCGCGGCGGTGGCGCCGGCGGGCGAGGAGAGTTGCGCCGCCGATGGGCGCGCTGCGTGGGGCACGGTGCGGTGTGGATACTGACCCGTTGGGTGGTGTGTGGGGTGGGCGCTCTTACTAGCCACGTGCCTCTACGATGATGCGCCGCTGTGCCTATCTTGTGTACCTTCTGATGAGGCAATGATGGCACCTCGCTGAGTCGGAGGTGGTCATGTGTTGTTGGTTTAATGTTAGAATATCGCATAGCTTGTGTATATTTCTTCGACAGGGGCAGGATGGCGTCTCGCCAAGTGGGATGTAGTCATGTTGGTGGCATAGTGTCAGATTTTTTGGATAGCTCCTGTGGTTTTTGTTTCGGAGTGGTATCTTGACATTTCTGAGGTGACCATGCCACTGTTCTCGTTGGTGGCGGGGTGGATGGAGGCAACGTCACTCTTGTCAGCCCCCGCTAATCCCAATGGAATACCGACACAAACGTGTCACTTTCACGAAACCCTGCGCCTGTGCAGCGAAATGCATCACGTGTCTTGCGCGACATGTCATTTTCATGCAAATCACAATGTACTAGCGGTGCAAACTGACACGTGACACATCCATGAAAAGCCACTTGCAAAAGCTTCCCCCAATGGCAGGGCCATAGAGACATCATACGGACGGTTGCAAACGGTTGCAAACGGTTGCGAACGGTTGCGAACTCGAAAACAACGTCGGGCAAACACAGCTCTACCCTCAGACTCCCAAGTTAAACGAGAACCCTTCGCTACGCATTCGGGAAAAAGAAGTTGCACTCGCGGAATTCGACTGAGGCTTAAGCCACCCCTGCATCATCACCACTGATTCTCCAGTAGTTGTAGGCGGTTCTGTTGTCCGCCATTGTAGTGGCGGCGCATGGCATAAACTCCGCGCTGGTATTGAGAACGGTCACATTGTCGAAGTACTTCCAAGGTTGATGCCAGCCTGTTCACTTCAAACCACCCTTTAAGACAGACGTACTGGAAGAAGTCCAGGACGCGATATCAGCCGTGAGCGATTCCGAGGGCGCGCGCTGGGAACAAACTATAAGAAACTGCGACCCCCCCCCTTTCTTCGAATTTCACCAAGTTGGAACCATGGAACCTGCTTTACAGGAAAAACGATGCATCAGCATCGCAAAAGAGAACCACGGAACCACGCCCCTTTAGCGAACCCAAAATTTCAACAGAAATTTCATCCCTGAGCTTCAACAAGACGCTGAGGCATTGAGATTTTCGTGGCCCCTCTCCAACTTGGCCAGGACACTTGCATCGTAGCTTTTGTAGTACTCCATAGCAGCTCCCTCCGCTGTTCCAGCGTCCAAGGCCTTTCGGGGCACGTACATGCCAGAAGCACCTTGGTGAATCATCTGTTTGGACACAAAACTTGGGGACGGCGCAATCGTTTAGCATTGTCCCACTCTTGAGCCACTGTCTGAGCAAAACTTAACACATGAAGTTTCTTACCGTGACAGGCTCATACAGGCTCTCCGCATTTTGAGGGCGGGGCACCTGTATAGCCCATGCCTCCTCCCGAAACAGGCATGTCGGCCTAGGATGTCACGACCAATCAGTGCTAAAAAATCAAAAAGGCCCCAAACAGTGCTAAGTGGAACCAAACAAGGATGAATAAGCAAACGTCCACGCTCTAGAGCACACACATGGCAGCACATACATGTGAGATCATGTGAGCAAACGCGCGAGAGCACACATAATGACATATGACGTGTCTGATTCTTTACCACCCACTTCTTGACCTGGAGCAGGCTTGCGTGCAGTTTTGGAGATGAGCAAGGCAACTCTAGTGCACGGCCAAACTGAGAACGAGGACAGGAGCAAGTCCAAACCACTGCTGCTGCGTCTTCTGCCTCTTCTTCTTCTTCGCCTCCTCTTCTTTTTTTTGGTTCTTCTTCTTCTTCTTCCCAGTTGAGTGCATAAAGTGTTTACAACTATATATGCAAAGTCCATGGCACGCAGGAGGTTGGCGCCGCACCCATTCCACCGTCGATATGGTGACGCGCTGTCACGCAGGACGAGTTGCAGGCGGTGGAGTTCCCAGTGGCAAAATCTGCGCCGACTTCATCAACACTTAGATTTCTTGGGCCCATTGTGGACCAGGGAGTTCGCAGTTTGAATGGCAACGCATCAGATTCTCCAGGCTCTTCTGCAGTTCCGTCACCGATCTCTCCACCCCCCCCAGCAGTTCCTATCAAGGATGTGGCGCCGGTCATCAATCTGATGAAGAACGGTGTGAACATCCGACAAACATGTTGGAACCAATGTCCGTTGATGAGAATGCTGGGGCGCTGCTGCAAAGGTCCATGGTCTCGGGGAGCGTGCAGTGGCGACATGCATTGGGCCAGCGGTCAGGGCTTCTGGTGGTGCCTCCGTATGTTGAGGGCCTGCTCCTTCAGTTTGTTCTTCAAGCTGATCCGCACAGCTTGACCTTGAAGATATGCATGGATCCAACTGGTCGCCAGCGAAGCCTGGCCCCAGTGTCCTGAAGGGACTGGTCCTTCAGGTGGCGTGCTGTGGCGTGCATGTCGTGCCGGATGTCCTGCCCCTGAGTCGTGGGCATTCAAGACGTGTTGGAGCCCCTGGGGCATCGACGTCAAAGCAACCGACTGATCTGCCTGGCCGACTGATCTGCTTGAGGGAGAGCTAGCAAGGAACTGATTGCTGATCGTCGAGTGGCACGGCACAATCCTGCAAAGAGTCAGCAGGCCAACTCGATACTTTGAGTCCTCCTCAACCTGGAGAGGCAGAGCACCTGCGAGTGATGCAATGGATGGCACCAAAAGTGGACCTCTACACAGACTGCCGCTGTTTCTTCAGGCGCGCGCGCCAGTTAAGCTGGTTGGGCCGCCGTGGCACACAAAGGGTTGGCCATAGATCCGAGCGGATCGGGGAACACCAAGGAGATCGATGGATCGAGTCCCGGCCAGCACGGACAAAATGGATCCCTATTAGCGATGACCTCCAACTCCAACCTAAGAGCGATGGCCTCCAACCTAATAGCCATGGCCTCCAACCATGAAGCACCTTGGCCTGAGTGAAATCATGGCCGACGCGTTGTTGATTCCAAAAAAAGTTCGGGAGCGTCAAAATGACCAGGTGAACGGTGAACATGGTGAGACTGTCTTGGAGCTCAAATCTATGAGCTTTCGGTGCAGGGGCATGGCCTGCCAACTCGCAAAACTGCTGTAGTGACAGTGGGGATTGGAGCTGAATTGGCTGTTCTTTCACGAGGCCTTCAAGCGTCCGCCATATACCAATCCCCATGCACAAAGCCTCACTACCCGGCGGCCTGATATTTCTCGGTGAGAGCAGCAATGATGCTGGGGAAGGTTGTCCACCAACTATCCACCGCCATGTGAATTCGCACTCTACCTGCGAATAGAAGAAGACACAAACAAATACCCCACTATATAACAGCACAAACGCCACAAATGTTACTAAACCGCATGAAGCAAATGAAAATAGCGGGCGAAGTTGCGGTTGTCACAACCACGGTCATCGGCATTGTACCATGTGGCACACCCCAGAGTGGCATACATTCCCTGCACGCTGGAAGACAGCGGCGTTGGCTCCACTCCTGACAATCGAATCCGAGAAAGCCTGCGGGGACAAACACACATACATATACAGACACCAAATTCATTCAAGCTCCATCACGAAAATGCAACTCAGCTTCGGGTGTTGTATCCCAAGACTTCTTCGGTGAGAATCTCGATCATTGCGCTGGTCAGCTCTGCGCTGGCCCATGTAAACACCCCAACCCCCACGGGGTAGGACTCCCCTGCAATATTCGTCAGGTTGCGCCGTTGATCCACAGCCACAGCCTCCGGCAAACAAGTGCTGGTCAAAGTGCTGCTCACCAAGGCAAGCTGGGCAATGAACAGCCACGATTCAGACCTGGCATGGAAAGCAAAACGCTTCAAAAGAACCAAGCGCTTTCCGGACATGTCGAGCGGCGAGGTGACCGGAACGGACGGCGAGGTGACGGCGGAGGTGCCTCATGCTCCTCCGGGCAGTTGCAAATCTCCAATGAGCTCTGCAAGGGACTGTTCTTGAGGAAACTTGAGCAATAAATGCCGCAGGACATGCAGTCCGGCACTGGGTCAGGAGGCAAAGTACCATGCAGGGGCAGTTGAGGAGTCCAGGAGGTTCCTTGATCTCGAAGGTTCTATCATTTCTTAAACTCGTGGGCGACCTTTTGACGGACACGTGACGTGTGTGAGAAACTCACCGAGGTCCCGGCAGTCTCAAGAGCTGGTGCAGGAGAGCTTCTGTCGCAAACACTGTGTTTAGTAGACTGCCAACGCAGCTGTCTCCAAACTTGCAGTCTGCCAACCGATGACTTCACCAGACTAGGCACAATCTATCACAATCTCAACCACCTGAAATCAGAAATCACTGGTGATTGAGATTGTGACAGTGTTCTCAACCAGTGACACAATCTCAACCACTGGTCAACAGTTTCAACCACCTGAAATCAAAAAAAATCCGGATCGGGATCACCGAACCTCAAGGGGTCGGGTTCGGATCGGGGAGCCCGATCTGCAGTTGTCCAGGTACCTTCCAACCTCTTCGCTTGCCCAGACTGGTCAGAGTGTCAGACTTGTGAACAGGATTCAACCACGCCACCCTGACCCGGCCTCATCTGCTCCAGACCCAGTGCCGATGGCTCAGCCGTTCGCCAAAGAGAGAGAGAGAGAGAGAGATGCTTGGTTCAGATAGGTTTTTGGTGGAGTGCGTCGTGCATCTGTGAATCTGCCGGAAACAAAAACACAAATATACAATGATGCTAGCTGCTGCTATGCTTCCTCTGAGTCCCTGTGTTAAATCTGAGTATGCATAGATTATACATATATCATATATCTATATATATATATACCGTACACTGTTTATGTATGTGTGGTAATCAGCATGGGTGAACGTTGGGCAATCAAACCTCAACAACCCCCCTGTGACGCGCAGCCCCCCTCTTCATCATCACTCAGGGTTTGCACGGCCAAAACGCTGCCTGTTCTATGCTCAACACAAACTCACACTCCCAAAATGAGCTTCATTGTTGCGTCCCTTTTAGGTTTTGGTCGAGAAGTGAAGTCTTCAAGTCCACTGCCTTCCTGTTGCAGGCCATTGAGTTTTGATAGGGAGCTGCTGCTTTTCGTTGCACATACCCGAGAAACCCTGCTGGAGCAAGACAGAATCGATAGAAAAGGCAGCATGTGCAGTCGCTCCTGCAGATTTGTCGCCACATCTTCCAATCACCCGAAGATTGGTTGCTTGATGTGTGGAGCTTTAGTGTTCTTGCACTCTCTTGCATATCATTGAGCTGATGGGGGAACATAGAAACCAGAATTGCAAAAATAATGACTTACAAACGCCATATTTGTGGCTCTTGTCTGGACAGCTAAGTCAAGAACAAGTGCGATACTCGGTTGAAATAACTATATCCACAAATCATAAAATGCAGCGCAATGCAGCTCACCAAAAATGTTGAAAAAGAACGCATGACAGCACGTGAAACTCGGTAGAAACCAGCTGCTTTGCTCCGCCCACCCTGAACTCACCGTACACGTTCTTTCTCACAGCCATTCCAGAATCGCTTTTCAGCCTGGGATGGGGACTCTGCACCCAGGAATTGAGACAACAGAGCCACAAGTCCAAATGATGGACCAACCCATGAGGATGTCCACAATTGCCAATGCTTTTGTGTGTTTCTGCCCTCTAAAGGCTCTTGAACACTTTACAGGTATTCTCGCATCTTAGTGATAAGTCGGATGATGAGTAAGTGCCAATTGTCCTTCACTGACAAAACACGCAGCACGAAACTGTCTTACTTGGTATGTACATACATACATACATACATACATACATACATACATACATACATACACCTACAATACCTACAAGAACCTGGCAAACCAAATCTGGCCATCGCACCGGTCCAACCTGCTTCTTGTGCAAGGTGCAGCACTGCAGCACCTCAGATCTTCAAATTGGGCGAACCCCACATGTCCAAAATATTGGTCAAGTCTGCACCATTCTCAAGTTCGGAGATGCTGGGACGAATGGAGTGGCCAGGAGTGCCCCCCCAAAAAAAAATAATACAATGTAATAAAAAACTTTCTTAACCGTTCTTAACCACCAACCAAGTCAAGGCCAACTCACCGCGAGGGAACAGGAGAATCACATCGAATAGATGCAAAAATATGTCTACAGATTTAAGTAACAGAGAGAGAGAGAGAGGCCCTGTACTGGGAGCACCCACAACAATCAAAGGCAAGCTACAAGTGTTGCTCACCCGTGAAACGGCTGTGGCCACAATGCGGGCCGACAGCCCACCCTCCAAATACATCCGTTGCCACCATGATCCCAACTGGACTGGGCCCCGAACGAGCATCACGCGCTTTCAGCGCAAGCCCTTTCATTTGCTCGGCCCAGGACGACTCGATCTTGGGGCAAACCTCAGGCGCCGGCGCCGCGCCGGACAGGGTGTCTTCAAAAGGGTCAATCCACCAGGAATAGTATTGTAAACCAGCTCCGCACTCTGCGCAGCCAAAAGCAGATTGCATGTTCGCTCATTTTGGTTCAAGCCCGACACCAACACAAACATGTCACGCGACATGCGGCAAATTCCGAGCTGAATTAGGGAGAATTTGCAAGTTCTTTGACACATGCTGTGTGGGTAAGGGATCAAAAAAATTACACCAGCATAATAGACCCAGATAGCTGGGCAGAATCCCACGACCTGTTGACATGCGACTGGCTGGAACAAGAATGTGCGCAGCCTGCACAGCCGGCTTACGGCACCTCCACAGCGCGCGATCAGCTGACACCAGCACCGGTGCGCTTTGGTATTTTTCACTAGAGTTGTACATACACTTGTACCCTACTGCGTCGTATTTGGCTCAAGGCAAAACTGGTGCTTATAGGCTGTTTTCTATCTCAAATAATAAGATTAGGGTTCCGGGTTTTGACCCAGCCATGTAGCGGTCCTTGAGGGGGTTCCGTTGCGGTCTCGCCAATAGCTCGGACGTGGTATGTCATGGCTTCCACGGAGTACAGTGGGATTCCACCGCTAATGGAATCGCTGGTGCCGGCGAAGCCGCAGCTCCAGCTGCGCCAGCACCCGACCAGCGCCGTCGCCCGTCCGCGCGCTCAGCCAGCTCACAGCACCAGCACCCAGGACCACAGCACCAGCACCAGCACCGACACCCTGTCGAAAGCGCGCGCAGCCAGCTCATTCTTATTTGCAGCAAGAAGCCCCATAGCTATCCCTATTTGGGGAATAACAACGTATGATCTTGCACGTATAAGTTTATGCGCACAAAAGTATGCGCGCTAACGGCAAAGCCCATAAGTGTCATTGGCCCAAGGCCAAGCAGTATCCAGCGCCACTGTTGACTTTGTAGCATGCTTGAAGCAACGACCTGCAGAATGATAAGGCCGTGTGATCTTGCGCGTACAAGTTTATGCGCACAAAAGTATGCGCACAAACGGCAAAGCCCGTAGGCTTCACTCGCCCAAGGCCAAGCAGCATCCAGCACGACTATTGTGTGTGTAGCATGCTGAAACACGCTGAAACAATGGTCGGTTGAGAGCCTGACGTTGCGCATAGAACATTATACGTACAAAAGTATGCGTGCAAATAATACAGCCCTTGACACAGCTGTCGGCCAAAACAGAACCTGAAGTACATACCCCACAGCGCTAATAGACAAAGAACGCTCAAGCGACAACACCGTATGATGTTGCGTGCATAAGTTCATGCGGCCCATGACTGCTGGCACTTCATTGTCAGAAGCGGTGCTTGGTCGCCCTTCACTGCTGCAAGCGGCGGTTCGTTACCCTTCACTGTCAGAACCGGCGCTTTTTATAACTTCACTGTCAGAAGCGGGCACCAGCACCAAGCACCGGCATGCCAGCTCACGGCGCCGAGCACCAGCACCCAGCGCCCCCCAGCACCCGGCACCCTGTCTCCACCACATGCAAAGCCAGCACCCAGCACCAGCGCCCAGTCTCCACCACGCGCACTGCCAGCTCACACCACCAGCGCCGGCGCCCGCTGTCTCTACCAACCGGCACCGTGTCTCCAGCACCAGCACCACAGCCCGCACCAGCACCCGGCACCGGCACCCAGCAGTGGCACCACACGAACAGCCAGCACCAGCACCACAGCCAGCACCAGCACCCGGCACCGGCGCCCAGCACCGGCACCCTGTCTCGAAAGGCGCGCAGCCAGCTCATTGTCATTTGAGGGAAAAAAAAAAGCTGCCGCTAGGCGCACAGCCAGCACCCAGCACCAGCACCGGCACCCTGTCTCCACCACGTGCACAGCCAGCTCCAGCACCAGCGCCGGCACCGGCACCCAGCACCACCACCAGCACCAGCAACCTGTCTCCACCACGTGCACAGCCAGCTCACAGCAGACCCGCCCGGCACCCAGCACCAGCACCAGCAACCTGTCTCCACCACGTGCACAGCCAGCTCACAGCACCAGCACCAGCACCGGCACCCGGCACCCAGCACCAGCACCGGCAGCACAGCCAGCTCACAGCACCAGCGCCAGCACCGGCACCAGCACCGGCGCCCAGCACCAGCAACCTGTCTCGAAAGTGCACGGGCAACTCATTGTTAGTTGAAGTAAGAACACCATAGCTTCGCTATCTGGTGAATAAAAGGAAATCAAAAAAATTATTCAACAGCGATCAATAAAACATAAAAATATTCTAGCGATTCTAGCCCCACAGACAGGGGTGCGGCCAAGACCAGGGCAAGAGGAGGACAATCTGCAAATGCGATGGGCGACCCTTTACAATTTACAAATCGTGGCAGGCGCAGTGCAGAGTGCAAATTTCGTGGTGCTGGAGGGGGGTTGGGGGGGAGGGCGCAGCGCCTCCCCTCCAAAGCGAACCAAACGCTAAAACACAGCACCACAAAAGAAATCACTAGAAACTATGTACCCGATCGCCCTTTCAGTGAAGGGCATCTAAAAGTGCACAAAAGGACCTAAGGCAACCGAAGCTAAAAGCATTGTACGTTTTGCAAGAAAACTGCGGCCAATAAGCTACAAGAGAAAGGACCAAAGGCATCAAAAAGCATCAGTGAAAGAACAAGGAGAAAACCATAGAAAACCCGCAGACCAGAGGACCAGGAGGGCAAAGGACCAGGAGACCACGGGACCGGACCAGGACCAAAGGACCAGGGGGCCAAAGAGTGTGTGGATGAGAGGACCAAGGGACCAAGCGATCAGGAGAGCAAAGGACCAGTGGACCAGCAGACCAAAGGACCAGAGGACCCGCAGACCGCAGGGCCAGGAGAGCAGCAGAAGAGGCCTATCAAGGAATATGTGTTTTGATACTTTATTTGTTTGTGCTACTCTTTATATTATTGTGTTTTAATTTTTTGTTGATCTAGATGCCATGCCGTGCACAGCACAAGTGGCATTTCCAACACAAGTCGCGTCTCGCGCAGATCTTGCAATAATTCTGCGGCCGTCTGAGGCTATATATATATATATATATATTTTTTGTCTGCCTTCCTCACTCCCTTCCTTCCTTCCTTCCCTCTTTTCCCTGCGTTCTTCCTTCCTCTTCCTGAGGGAGGGAGAAAGGGAGCAAGGGAGCGAGAGCGAGCAAGAGAGAAAGAGAGAGAGAGAGAGATCTGAAGGAAGGTGCTGTCCAAAATGCTCAACGCAATTCAATCTTCCTACAGTAGAACCCTCATGCAACGGGATTTGTTCACAAGGGGACGGAAACCTGTTTCCGCCTTGCAAAGGCAAAGCGTTTGTCACGATCTGCGAAGTCTGCTAAGCAGCAACAGGGAAAAAGCGCAGAAGCTGAAGAGATGCCTTCACTGTTGTCCAAGAGCCTCACATCCTCCATGAACATCTTCACTTTGGCCTGCCACAGAACCCTCGAACGTGGCTCCCAACATTCTTCCCGGGGCACTTTTCGTGTACCCTTTCTCACCCACGGCGGAATCGCCAGGCCGCCAGGACACAGGAAGAGGGAACTTTGTTCCATCTGGACAATTTTAAGGTAAGTTTCGACATTGTGCTTCGGCAGCCAAATAGGATCTCAGCATGCAGCATACAAGCTTCCAGCAACATACTCAGAGCGGCCTGCGCTCCTGGTATGATGGCACATTACCACGGATCAACAAAACAAAACCAACCAGCTTTTGCAATGCTCTACTGAACCTGTCGCGGTTGCCCAGACTCTCAGAAGCTTGGCCGTCTGGCGAAGTACGGCAACACAAGTGCAAAAGCCTTTCCAGACCCAGCCTTTGTCAGGCAAAGTTGATAAAAAGTGGACACACCGACAACACCCCGATTCAACGCGCTGTCGGAGTGTTTGTTGCGTTTCACAGGTCTTGTCCCCAAACCTAGGCCAACACCTAAACGCTCCAATTCAGACGCCTTTTCGCGTCTGCAGGGGACACATTTAGGAACTATCCTGCAAGGAAGCCACCTCCATATTCCCTCTGTCTTTCCATGGGAAGATGGAACTGAGCTTGGAAGGCATGTGCTCAGGATCAGGACAGCGGATCAACAAAACAAAATCAACCAGCTTTGCTTGTCAGTTTTCAAGCTGCCTGACTTGAAATGATGATGCAATGCTTGACCGAACCTGTCGCGGTTGCCCAGACTCTCAGAAGCTTGGCAATCTGTCAAAGTACGGCAACACAAGTGCA